TTTTTGATTCGCATCAATACTGCACAATGGGACTTTTATGTCTAGCAATGAAACAAAATTCCATTATAAACTAACAATTTTGCACTTGCAGTCTTTGCTATAGAGATTTTTCTCATTATCTTATTTTTCTTACTACCAAGATAGGATAGGGGAATGAATAATGGGTTTCTCTAAGAAAAATTAAAAGGTGACAAAGTGAAGTAGGTTCGCTAGACTCATGAATCAAGAAGTCCAATCTCCTGTGTCCTGACTCCCTGTCCAGTGCTCTTTCAACAAGGCCATGTTACCCCTCAGCCTTCCTTTCTGCCTCTGTTAATAGGGTCTGCCAGGATGTTCCATGCTATCTAGGAGGTTCTCGCCCTAGGAGTGGCTTCCCTTTCTGGTGTAGGCTTTGCTGAATGACCTGCATCAGCTTTGAGGGGAAAATTGAAATCCTTTCTCCAGAAACTCAGGCATTCTACTTCAGATGAAATCATTTTCCTTAGCCAATTTAACAAGATCCTTACTCTTTCGTTTCCCTTAATTATCTTGTTTTAAAAAAAAGGAACTGGAGAAGACCATCTGTTTTAGGAGGCAGTTCATGTCGTATGTTTTCTCTAATAGATCTATGAAGGCCCAGTGAAGCAAATTAAGGCTTCATCTCGTTCTTGTTTGGGATTGTTCTGTTTGGTGCTTTTGCGTCACTGCCGTCGGCATTTCTCGGTTGTATATTTGGGATGTCTTGGAGTGCAGATTTGATAAAAAGATGTTATCTTTGTTCATGAATCGCAGGCCCTGTGAGCCATTTTCGATATCGTGCCAAACTATCACAACAAGGTTCTTTGCTTTTTTAATCCCTTCCTCTCACCATGAGAAGTCCTATTAACATGTTTTCTGAGCTACAGAGTAAAATCTGTCAAATATAGCATGGAAGGCAGATGGGTGGTTGCTGCCTTCCTTTTCACAAACTCTAAACCTAGTCTTCCTTAGTAAAACTCAGCCTTATCACCTCTTACCCCAGAGGCCTCCTTTATGAAGAGAGGACATACGTAGTTAGGAGATGGGGGATGGGGACACGCTTTTCTTTCTTTCTTTCTTTCTTTCTTTCTTTCTTTCTTTCTTTCTTTCTTTCTTTCTTTCTTTCTTTCTT